TATTTTTTAATATCCAGCTACATTAGACATACAAAAAGGAGAAAGTATTTTAATTATAACTCGTTGTTTAATATAACATATTTTGAAAAGTTTTTAAACAAAAATAAAAAGAAATAATATTTTTGAGTGTTATGTCAATTACTACTAATTTGAAACAACTTGTGCTCAGCTTTTTTTTTTCCATTTCTTATAATTAAAATTAGGATAAAATCAACTGTAAAAAGTTTTTGAGTTATTTGCATAAGTAACACCTATTGTTTATGCTTTTTTAAATATTTTTATTTAAATCAATGTTAATTATTTACTTTAATTTTTAAAATATAATAATATTAATGCTAAATTATTATGAGAATGAAACCTTTTATTTTAGCTTTATAAAAGTTTGCAACAAGAAATTGAAAGACCTTTGCATCCTCTTAAAAATAAATTATTTTTTGTGTCAAATAAATGATTAAATAAAAAACTTTATTAAATTAAGATTAATAATTGGATTTTTTTTTCTCATTTTCATATCTACATGGAATTGAAAAAATATCATTAAACATAATCACTATCTTATATGATATACGTTAAATGATTAAAATGATATACAATGTACGTTAGATGATTAAAATGATATTTACTTCTAAAAATAATAAAAAGTTATTTTTATAACAAATCATCGTAATATTGTCAATATAAAAAATATTTTAAAAATACCTTAAACTACGCAATTTACAAACTCATCACAACAGTTTGACGATGAGAAAAATTTATGCAAATAACACAAATAATATCTAATAAAAAATTTTGAAATAAAATTTTTTAAAGAAAAGCAGAATCTCAAAACCCATAACAAATTATCAAAAAAGGAAACCATTAAGCACTTAGTTAAATGTACATAAAAAGATGGTTACAAACAAAAAATATATCATGTAATATTTATACTTTTATCAAGCATCTCTTTGATGATAGTATTAACAAGAAAATGAATCATATCATTCGCATTAATTACCTTATAATCATTTTTATTTTTTACAATAAAAATTTTTTTATATAATATACACCTCCTTCATGAATCTTATTATTCAATTTATATACATTACGGCTCCAAAAAATATTATGAATATAAAATCTCTACATCATAAGTACAAAAAATTATAAAATAAATAAATAATAAAAAATAAAAACATAAATATAAAAGAAATAAATGTATTTACACACCTTTTTATCAACTAACATCATTTATAAGCTAATACATTGTTTAGTCTTATAATTATAAACATCCCACAATTGACAAATTCAAAATTTTGGTAATCTAGTAATCTCTTTCAAAAATCAATTTAGCAATCATGGCATATTGTAATTGGCTAAAAGGTAAATTTGAAAATAAAAAAAATTATGATCATGACAAAAAAAATGTGAATACTAAAAAAATCAATCGGTTAAAATAATTGATATACTAAATAAACAAATTATAGATCATGATTAAAAAATAAAAAATTACAAAATACAAACACAATAAAAAACGTCATGATAGAGAAAATAAAATATAATACATATATAAAATATACTTATATAACTCTTTCGTACCTAACAAAAGATATGAAAAAGAAAAAATTATAAGACTATTAAAAATGAAAAACATACACGTTAGAAAATCAAAGATGTAATGAATTTTAACAAATAATGATTTTAAAAAACATAAGAAGAAAATCAAAAGTCAAAATCTATATAAATGCTAGGTAACTAAAAATCTATTGTATTTATGTAATAAGATTAGGAGATATAAATTTAAAATTTATGTGTAAAAGACTTGACATTTATTACAAAATATTTAAATTTTATATATTTATATGATTACTGTGAAAAATAAAACCGCTCTTCAAGCATTTTAACCAATTTGACGTAGCCGAAAAAAATTAGAAGGAACATGATACTTTTATTTATTATATTATTAAAATATTTTTAGGTTAAATTGAAAAATTAAATTTATATATTTATATTATCTCATCAATTTGATAAAAAACTACATTGAAATATTATTTCAAAGATATGATACAACCATTTTTTATTGGTGCTAATTGAGATTGTTTGTTTATATTTTGTTTTTTTTTAAATAAGTATTTATTTTGATACAATAATAAATAATATTTTTTGATAAATAAAACTTAATTTTTAATAATGAAAAATATTAATTGAAAAAATTATATAAATACATATATATGTATATTTATATGTGTATATATCTGAAAATGATATAAACATTTATAATTGCATGATTGTCACATTTACCTTTAAATCAAATATGCTTATAATTAAGTATTGTCATCTTCGTATTAATGTAAATAGAAAATTTTTTAAAATTTTTATTTCTTACTTATTATCAATATAAAATAAAATAATAATTTTATCGTTCGATCTCTTCTCTCTAGAATTTTAGGTGTTAATTTAATAAAATTACAAAAAAAATTACTATTTTTATATAGAAACACAATATTCTAGAGTTGAGTGGGGTCATGCTTTTTATAATCATATAATCATGTTTTTTAAATAATCATGCATGGAATCAAGACCGAAAAGTCTTTCACCTACTTGATTTTTTTATAACCTTTTTTTTTTTTAATTTTTGCGTGTGATCAACTCCCAAAGGAATAAATAATTCCGGAAAGTGTGATTAGTTATTAAATGAAATTCACATGAAACCAGTAAACCAAAACCTGATTTATAATTATGGCTGGAGCACACAATAATCTATAGGAAAAAAAAACAACTCCTACATTATAAAAGGCATAGATATAATCCATGCCTTACTGATTGACATAACCTGCAACAAGGCATACATCATGGAAGGCATAGATATAACCTGCAACAAGTTTAAAAGGTACAGAAAAAAATAATGGAGGCTGGACATTCCATTTTAAAAGCAAATTGCATGGAAAACCTTTTATTTTAAAAGCGATTGAGCAACAAGTCTGTCACAGTTCTTTGAACCTCTGTTCCTTCGCTTTTCACTATTGTCCATTGTGCTATTTTAACATAAAGTTTAATATTTGTGAAGAAAATTGAATCTTTTTCTTTTTCTTTTATCATCTCTTTCAGTCTAGAATAAACATTTTTTGTACTCAGACTCGGGTTGTAATAATTCAATAATTTCTGCTCTTTCAATTATGTAAATATAGATAACATGTAAAAGTCTTGGAGAAAGAACTAAGCTCTTCATAAATTTTTATATATAACACATGCTCCATACCTATATTCTATATATATTTAATATATTTAATAAATTAATTTTTATTTAATAATATAAATTTTATTTTAAATTAATTAAAATTAACATATTTATATTTAAAATATTTATTTATAAAAAATTATATAAAAGTTATAAATATGAAATTACACATATCTATTAAATACTTACAAGAATGAAAATGTGAATGAATTTAAAATATTCATTACGTATGAATGTAAAAAAAATATATAATATAAAAAACACGAAATGAAAATAAAAAATATTCCATCTATTCCATGCCTTACTAATTGATATGCTTATTTTTTCCTATAAATGGATGACTGATTGGGGTTGGAAATTTTGAAGAATTTATTTAGTAAGTTTGGTTAGTGTATCTTATAATTATTCCCTTAATAGTTCTCTTACCTTTTTTCATAAAAGTTCCTCTCGAGGAAATTAATGCATCAGCCTATCATTCTCTTTATTCCAAATTTAACCGTCAATCTCCCACTGGGCCAATCAACTGTAAATCTATCTTTGCATATGCAACAAGGAAGAACAACAAACAAACACATCAAGTTAGGGAGTTTGCAATACACACTTGGCCTACTTCAGTTATATTAGTACATCAAAGTCTATTGTATTAACACTTTAACAGCAATGCCAAAACATTATCTGTTCTTGAGGCAGCAACCAATTCAATGGCCATTGTCCTTGAGAAGGGACCATTTCAAAAAATAAGCGCAAGTTGACAGATTTAATGAGCGTGATGGGTGCCCATTAGTCCCCAAGTCAAGGACGTTGGGCTGTCAAGCAAGCCCTGCTCCTATCCTGACATTTCTGTCTTGACCCATGGACTTGAGTCATTATTGTGAAAAATCATAAAGCATGACATCTGATTTGATAATGGGTTCCAAATTATGAGGCCCAATGCCAATGAAAGTTTCAGTCATAAAAAAAATGGCTGCAAGAAACTGATCTAGCACAAGCAATGCTCTCATTTCAGATGCAAGAGACTGCCCTCACTGTCGATAGCCTGCAAGATCGCAATTTTAGGCTGGCTAGAGTTATATCACAGAAGGTTACCTGGTTATGGATGGATACAAGGAGGAAGTTCTGCAAACAATAAAAGCAATTAATTTTAAATTGATATAAGAGTCCTACATATATTGAATTTGGAGGCCCTTCAATTTTTTTACAGTGTTAGCACTAAATCTTTCCCAATTCCATAATTGTAGCATTTCTAGTGCAAAAAATCTACCATCAACATTGGTACAGACTAGAAACAAACATAAATCATACAATTTTTTAAAATGTTTTCACTGAATACAAGATTAGAATTAACCTTCCAATGCCTTGAGACTATTGCATTAACATTGAACAAACTTCTCAAAATGGGACAAAATGAATTTTCAAAATTATATTCTGTATAGATTGACAGCTTAATTCTTTATGCCAAAGCTCTTGGTTGCTGAGGGTGTAAAAGAAAGTAAGAAACTGAACCCAGTTTCAACAACAGCAAAATGCATTTAGCATTGCTTGGGACTAGCCGAAGTAAGTTGATGAAGTAATGGTTGTGATTGCAAGGTCCATAAGAGCAGAGAATGGCATCCCATGTCTTCACAGGGTTACAATGGAAGGCATATGCTTTGTACATAGTCTAATATATGTGCATTAAACCAAAATTGGCAGTGTTGAATCAATGACGGATATAAGATTTTTTTTATTGAAGTGTTCACTTATAACAGATAAAAAAAAATTGATAAATTTACTAATTTATTGACAAAAAGAGTGTTTTAAAGAATTTTGAGTATCTATGAACATTATCTATATATGTAGATCTGTTTTAAGTTGAATCATAATCATCACCTAGCACACAGACACAATCTCATGAAAAGTTAAAAAATAATCTCATAAAATATCAAGTCGAAGCAAATAAAAATATTTTCCAAGCACATGAAACAGTAAAAAGGAAATTGAAAATTCAATATGACATTGCCACTGATATTAGTATCATTGTTAGCTCTCATCATTTATCAGTTCAGTTCTGATCAAGGCAAAGAAGTTGATATTAGCCGATCAAGCTGCACAAGGCTTGGTGAATGGTAGTGGCGGCAGAGGAATCAGAGTAGCATTGTCCTTCTACCTACCTAGATTTGGTGATTGTTGCAAATTGTTTCTATTTGCATTTCTAAACTTCATTTGCTTTAGTAGAACAACAGCTTCTGTAATTTGAACTGCAACGAACATCAGTAATCAAATTAAACCTCTACGTATTTAAAAGATAACATGTATTTAAGTCAATCAAAGCTTAGTATAGTCCATTTCTCTTTCATTTATGTTAACTATAGATAACATGTAAAAGTCTCGTAGAGTTTACTAACCTCTTCGTAAACCCTTTTAGTCCTTTTATAGGCCAGAAAGCCAAATCCACATGGAGATCCAAGAGTTCTTGTATTTCAAGAAGCAGGATTAATGGTTTGGAACTTTGATTTACTCATTCAAATCAGATGGAACAAAATATTGTTTAGATTTGAAATATACCTGATCTCCGACTTGCGTTAGCCTGCTACAGTAATCACAATGTACACAGATTGTAATTTGTAAACCTTGCACACTGCCCACAAAATCAATTTCAAAACATCAAGATTACTTCAGATATTTTCTTCAAGATTTGAATTTCAGAAGCAAATCATAATTATCAGCATCTCCATGCTACCAAAAATCATAAAGCAAGAAATCAGTATTTCGTTACTAGCTACCTTTTAAGTGGTTTAACATGCTTGTAACCAGGATACATCATGTCTCCAAACAAAATAGTACCCACTTTTACCGACGGCTTAAAACAATGGCATGGATTGACTACAAAGAAAAACTCAACCAGTTAAGATGGTTTAGTGGAAAAGAAGAGAACAAGCTTAGGAGTTTCTTTTAGTCATTGCATCAATGGTGTCACATACTGATGCCTAGGTTCAACGTCACTGCTGGTATAGTATCTACATTTCTCAGACATTGAGGCACAGGCAGGGAAGCTTCTCCATAAAGCATAAGCTCAATGCATCTGTACAGTTGGTCTGGAAAGAAACAACATATGTCCTGCATTGCCTGTTCTGGTAAGAAACAGTATCTGTGCCGCACTGCCACTTACCATTTTTTATCTTCTTTAAGTTCCCTGGTTCAAGTTTTATTAAAATCTTATAAAAAAAAAATAGAAAAAAAATTAAAGGTTTCACATCAATTTCTTAGAAATTGTAATCTATAGGTTAAACAACATGCAACAAGAACAAATACTCTTTCTTTGAGAAATAATCAAATGATATCAAAACATAAAACAGTTTTTAAAATATCTATCAATTAAAGCAATTAATAATAAAGTTTTGTAATTTAACATGCAAATAAGAAGTAATTTAGGAATAAAAGACTTTATCAAAGGTTTCAGAATTAGCAAAATTTTTGATTTTATATCAGAAAAAGTATTATTTCTGTTGGTAATTAATATCTCTTCCTCCTATTATCCATTTTCACACCATGTTTCAGTATGGAACTAGCTTGCAGACCTTCATTGAGCTCCAATTGGTTTGAAATTACTGAAATTGAAGTACAAAAAGAAGCTATAAACATGTAAACAGCTGAACATTAAATAAAACTAGCTTCTTACCATCTACACTGTCTCGCACATTCTGCAACTTCAATGAATGCCTGTAAACAGAAAATTATCAGTTTCCTTTTTCCTAACTCAAAGTTGGGATGCAGGTTCTAATTAATGTCATTTCATACTACAAAAAGGATGAAAATCAAATTGACAGGAAAGACAGACACCAGATAAAGATCCATGTGACAGGTGGTACAGACTCCCCGCATACCCTGAAAAATGAACAATGATAATATCGTATAAGTTTCAAAATGGAAGTAGGATGAACAGCATTGTTTTTTGGAATTGGAAATCCATTAGGAAGAAAGTGGAAAAGCTTTTCCAAATTGAAATACCTAACCTTGAGTATAAGCAAAGGATAATGTAAAATTGTAGTCATTCATTCTTCCCTTTACTTTTCAGAGATTAAACAGCTTTCCATTTGTCGTCTCTGGATCATAGATGAATATACAATCAATTTCATCTTTGAAATATAATCAAATAAACTAAACCTTTCTATGCCACATGTAACATATGCAAGAATTGGTCACTGGCAATGCAAATTTCTCAAAATTGTTTTTTATATGCAATATCATATATAATTGTGGACCAAAATCCTCCTAAAGTTCTAAGTGTTACAACTATTCCAATGCATTTCCAAATTGTCATACGTGGGTCTAATTGGTTTCAGTCAAGTTCCTCTTGATAACAGATGAAACTATCATCAATTTGGAAAAGAGCACGTGGACAGTGTTGAGCCACTCTTGTTCTTTATCACCTTGCTTTGCACCATTCTATTAGCAATGTACAATTATAAATATATAAATAATGAAGGTTATTAAAAGTAGTGTAAAAGAGAAGAATAAAAAGGAACTTTTAACTTCCATACTTAGGTTTCATTACAAATATGGAAGAAGGTATACTCTTTACTTGTGCCATTTTCTTCTCGGCGAGATGAAATGGTTGTTTTTTTTCCACCTTCAAGTAATAGATGAATCCTTTATCCATGTATTCATAGATGATAGGCCGTTATTTCACAGTTGAGCTCAGGAACTCTGCAAGAACAAACAATGAGGGCGTCTTAAAATGTTGCAGTGATGGATCATAACTCCCAATAATTACATGTCCAATAACTATAGAAGAAATTAAAACATGTAAAATTATCCCAAAAATATTGTTAACGTGAAAAAATTATTGTTTTCAAAAAGACATACCTGGATTTTCTGATTCTTTTCAATAAAATGAAAGAACCTTTAGTTATACTAGTTCGGAACTATTGATTAAAGAAGATGAGTTTCCAGATGCAACCAATGTTATTTTCACAACTGCAGCTATGGTCTCACGGATCATTCAACCTTCCAGACATCCATAGTTGGTAGGTCCTACAAAAACCAAATAGACTAAATCATAGTTTAAAACAAGGATAAAAATGTCATGGTCAACTTGACCAGCCTCTACTTTAGTATTTCAATTCAACCATTAATATGATAAAAACAAATTTGCTAATGCTCCAAAATAGTAAATATTTGGATTGAAAATAGAAAGAGCTATACGTGTGTTATCAAAATTGGTAGGTTTTTGCGTAAAAGGTGTCAATTTAATGCCAAAGCATGGATGGTTTGCTATGAAATGACTTTATTTATAGAAAAAAGAAAAAATCACTTTACTTACCCAAAAAACCAAAGAAAATCCTTTTCTGAAACTTCAATCTTTACCCTCAGCAGATAACAAGCATTTTGTAGATAAGGTCGTAGTTAATATCATATCCTGCACAAATAACCAAAAATCTCAATTTTTTTTGAATTAATGCAAAAAAATCGAAGGACTATGAACGTAAAAATAATTAAATGTCTGAAGATTAATAAAATAAATTCAAAGTGTTTTCCTTTCTCTTTAGTGTATAAATTTGAATTTGTAAGGAATATAATAACAAAAAAATTTTGTAAGGGTTATAATAAATTTGAAATTGACATACTTGCGACTTTGAGTCGTTAACTTTCTTGTCAACTTTGCTGCCCTGAAGAATTATTGTCTGAACCATTATCCTCTGAAACAGAATTAGCTGGAATGATAGATGCATCTGTCATCAATTTCCACATAAGGTATATGGTCTATCTTGGACCACTCTGGTCCTTTATCCTTTCCACACCGTTCTTTTAGCACTGGACATCTCAAAATAAGTAGCCGCAAAAGCGAAGAAAGCATCTTCTTTTCCGGAAGAGACTTGAGGTTTGGGCAAGAATCGATAGACAAGAACTCCAGAGAGGTGAGGTCCTGAAAGCCCTTGGAGGATAGGGTTTCTAGTTTTGGGAAATTGATGATGCCGAGAGAGGTGAGAGAGCAGGGTAGCGTCATTCCTATCTCTTCTTGTGGAAACAACACTGCATCGGGACACCCATTTTCTATCCAGAGAAATTTAAGAGAAGTAAGTCTATGCAATCCCCAATCAATTAGTGGCTTACAGATGTTGGGTCCTTGATGGTAAGACTTTTGAGATTAGTAGGAATGCCCTCTTCTGGGAAGGATGTCAGATTGAACAATTTTTTATTTCTAATTCTTCTAGACAGCTGAGGTTGTGAATACCGTCGGGCAGAGTTTGGAGTTTTTCACATGAATGAGGCGGAGGACTTTGAGGTTTGAGGTGGGCAAACCACTTTCTGGAAAGGAAACCAAATTTGAACAAATACATACGTCTATGCACTGGAGATGGCTGAGCCTGTTCAGGCCTTGAGGTAAATACTTAATATTACACACCAAGATAATAATACTTTCAAGAGAAGAGTTATCTTGAATTTCTTGAGCTATGAACTCTAGCTTTTCACAACCGTATATTTCAAGTCGTTTAAGCCTCGTGGGTAACTCCCCTCTTGATGATAAAGATACCAGAGATGGACAATTGTCAACATACAACCGTTCAAGAAGACATGCACTGCTGAGGTTAATATTCTCTCCCTCTTCCAACAAACACCGTAAATTTTTACAATCACTAATCGCTAGGCTTTTGAGATTCGAAGGCAAATTGTTTTTGAAAGAGAAATCAGAGATGGACAGTAGCTAATATTCAACTGCTCAAGAAGACATACACTGCCGATGTTAACATTCTCTCCCTCTTCGAACAAACACTGTATATTTTCACAACACCAATCTAGGATTTTTAGATTCGAAGGCAAATTGTTGTTTGAAAGAGAAATCAGATTTGGGCAAGACCAAAACCTAAGTGATGATACGTAGTGCAAAGTTGTTGATAGCTTTTCTAACCTTTCACAATCCGTTATTGTCAGTTTTTGAATGGTACAAGGGATCTTCAATTGCATCAATTCTTCTCTTTCCTCCTCTGCCCCTATGGAGACAAGTTGTGACCACTTTCCAATACTCAATTCACCAAGTGACATCGACTGAGTTAGCAATCCCCAACTGTTCTCTTGCAAAGAGCACAATTCCTCACAATCTTCGATCTTAAGGGATTCCACTTTTATTGATCCTAACGTCAACCATTCTGCTGCACAAGTAAACTTGGGAATTCTTGAAAAACAGACTTTTTTTAATGAGCTGCCGTCTACAAAACCTTTATAAACTACCTCCTGGCACCCTTCAATATCCAATTCTGAAAGCATTGGAAGGTTTTGAATTGAAATCACCAATTTCTTACAATCACAAATCACAAGTTTCTCCAAAGAAAGAAGATTTTCCGGTATACTCCCCAACAGTTCCGGACATTTCACAATACGAAGCTCACGAAGATTAGAAAACTTCTTAGCTTCCTCGTTAACTTCACAAAAGTTCCAATTCTCCCATTTAGGCATCTTTTCAAATTCTAAAGTCTCCAATGAAGGAAATGCATTTGGTGCATTCTTTCCAAAGAACTCAACTCCCACGCTAGTTACATTGTCCAATCCCTTGATGCATAATTTTTTCAACAATGGCAATTGCCCAATTGATGGCAATGATGTGCAATTTGGACAACATTCAAGGCATATTGATAGTAACTTATTGAATGAAGAATCCCCTATCCATACCGCCAACCTCACACCATAATAAAACTTGAGGACAAGCTCCTTAAGCATTTTGGAAGGATGAAGTAAATCCAACACTTTTGTCTCGATTTCTCTATTTCTATTCTCAAATCATCACTCCACATCAATTCTAACTGATCCAGTCCTAACTTATCATGTAACTTAGCCTTCAATGCATCTTGAGGTTCAACCACATTCTCTAACCCTGAAATACAAAGTTGACCTTTGAGATTTGATAAACCATCTAGCTCCCTTATTTGACATCCTTTGCCCTTTTGCAAAACAAAATTGGATAGTGTTTGAAGATCACTTAGCGTGCAAAAATTACTTGGCATGCCTTCTAATCCAACTGCACCTGTGATATCAAGATAACATAGGTTGACTAGGTTTTCCATATCTGAAGGTAGCTTTTCAAGCATCTCACACTCCCTTAATAGAAGGGTTTCTAAATTATAGAGGGTACTTATGGACTCCGGTAAGCATTTAATACAAGTCCAGAAAAATCTAGGTACCGTAAGTGTTTTAAATCTCTAATAAAATCTGGTAAACCCGCAGATAAGATACCCTTTCAAAGAAAGCACCCTTAGGCATCTCAAATTTGGCAACAAATGCATTAGAACATCATTAGTTATGTAGTAACTCATATAAGTAGAAAACCTAAATGGCAAAAAAGTACGTATATATTGCGCTTTACTGATGCCCTCAAATTTTTTTATGCCATCATACTCACCACCAATGTAAGATAAGTGGCGAGCATGCTCTGAAATTTGCTGATCACCCTCTATTCTGAAGCATATTTCTCCGGCAACTGATCGAGCCAAATCATTGATGAGGTCATGCATAACAAATCGAGATCTATCTTTGTTTGATATTTGCAAAAGAGACCTCGATACTAGATCTCTAAAATACTTGTGGCCTAGATCCTCAATGCTATGCTTATCTCTTGCTTCTTGTAAAAAGCCCTCTGCCCTCCATAACAAGATTATTTCTCTCTCTTGAAATTCATAGTCCTTAGGAAGAATGGAGCAATATGCAAAGCACCGCTTCAAATGTGGAGGAAGATGATGGTAACTCAATTGGAGAACTGGAATTATGTCAAACCGATGGTCTGATAGCTTCCATATCTCACTCTCCAATATTTTTTCCCAAGCTTCAAGGTCAATTTCAGTACGAGCCAAGCCTCCAAGGGTTTTAGCAGCCAAAGGCAAGCCCTTACACTTTCTCACTATTTTCTCAGCAACTTCTTTTAGATTTGGATGTCCTTCAAAATCTTTTGCTCCCAATGCATGTTGAGCAAATACAGACAAACAACCATCTTCTGACAAACCTTTCAAATAATGAGGAAAAGAAGCACCCATTGTAGATGAAACATCAGAACTTCTTGTTGTCACGATAATTTTGCTCGCTGGAGTCCTTGTTAGAAAAGGAGATTGTAAAATGGTCCAGTCATGATATTTCTCATTCCAGACGTCATCCAAAACAATCAAAAAATTTTTCCCTGACAACTTCTCCTTTAATCTTCTTTGAAGCAAATTCAAATCATTGTCATTACATGGCTCTGAAGTGACTGCTTGGAAAATTGCTTTTGTTATTCTTGTGACATCAAAATCATCGGAAACACAAACCCATGCTTTGAGATCAAAATGATCGTGAACAGTAGCATCATTGTAAACAAGTTGGGCCAAGGTTGTCTTACCGATCCCTCCCATTCCAACGATGGGAATCACAAAATTTCTGTCATCATCACCTTTGAAGACCAATTCAAGTATTGTCTCCTTGTCTTTGTCTCTGCCATACACCTGAGTTTCGATCTCCAGAGAAGTAGGCTGCTGCCTTTCTTTTCTTCCGTTGGATTTCGAGCAGTCAATTATTCTCAGTTGCAACTGAGTTTTCCGAGGCTCTAAATCCTTCAATCTGGCAGTAACATCTTTTATCTTTGACATCATGCCCCTGTTAATCAAAACAATGTTGAATGTATCAGAAATGAGTCTGGGTTTCTTACTTGAGCTGCCACGACGTTCCAACATCAAATTGCGCCTGGCAATTTCGGTTTCAAGCTCGTCCACAATGTCATCCACATCGTATGCCACGTTTTGGAGGTCTGACAACCAGATTTTCACAGATTGATCTTTGATCTGCCTCTCCTCAGCATCATCAAGCAGCGCACGAATCTCCAGCAATTCCTTCTTCAACTTTTCGAGCTCTTCTTGAATCTGTTTTTCAGTGGCAAATTGCAGGAATTCAGAAGAACCCAACTTGTCTAGGAGATAGTCAAAGAACTTGGAGACAACAACTTCTCGTACAGCGGACAGGGCTCCAAGCAAAGACATGGCTGGATTGCGTTGTTGCAAGAAATTATATGAAGAAATGAGAGTAGAGAAAATTGAGAAAAGAGTTTGAGTTAACGGAAGAAAGTGAAGTTGGATAAAGATGAATTGTAATGTATGGATGATTTTTTGTTTCTTTATGTTTCTTTTGCTCGTTGATTTTGCGGAATCTTTTACAAGTCAATATTGGACCCACATTAACGCGGCTTCAACTTTTTGAACGCACTAGCACTGCCACTGCGGGCTTTTGGTAAAAAAGGGGATTTCAATTGAGTTCTTTCTGCAATTTCATCGATACTACACAACAAAACCCCCACCCCCTTAACTCCCCTTTTCTTGGTAATTTCCATGTTTGAATGTTGAAATAGGGGAAATATATACGTTCAATTACTTCCCAAGTTTTATCAACAGATTTGGTGTATATATATTTGCTAATTCTATTGTCATCCTATATATTTTTTTATTTGTGATTTTTAAAATAATAGTGTGCTGGATAATTCAGTAAAAAGGCATAAAAAATTTTAAATGCATGTCTAAAAAAAAATTGATGAGAAAATCATGAATTATATATTAATCCTTGGAAATTTTATTTGGCAAATTCGATTTTTTTTTATTTTTAAATATTTTAATCACTAAATTTAAACATATTAATACAAATAATGTAATAATGTCAAATTAAATACAAGTAAATAGTATTATTATATGATACTATATTTTTGGAAACTCTTTTCGTTGCTAATGCTAGCCTTCCTAAGGCTATGGTTTGTCCTACTTGCAGACGCAATAATTGCGACAAACTAAAGTGGAATTGCCACTAACAAAAGTTGACAAAGATGTTTTTAACAAAAGGAAATGGCGTTTGAAAAATAAATGGGTTGAATTCAACGAATTAAATTTAATCGAAAAAGTTAATAATTTGAGCTCACTCAATTTGATCTAAAAGTAATTCGAATTCGTAAATAACGTGACTTTAAATTAATTTGAGTATTCAAAATGACTCAAATTGATTTTAATAAAAAATAATTCAAATTAATATTTTATTTTTAAATATTAATTTAATAAAAATAACATAAATTAATAATTTACTAATATTTAATAAACCTAAATTTTTTTAGTTTATTTTATATTTTTTTACAAATTAGTATTGTTTTAATTATGAATAACAGTAAAAAATAAAAATAAATTTAATTGCTTAGAAGAAGTAATTGAAAGTAGAGAATATTCAAAAAAAAAGTTTTTTTAAATTTTTATTTAATTTATCCTTTAATCCTTTCACTTTAATATTCACAATCAAATAATCAAATTTCATTGTGATTTTTTATAAAGAAAGTTGTAACACGATAAAAGAAGAACAGAAACGTCTGTTTCTGTCGGTGGAGATTAATTTTTGTGGAGTCTTTTTCTTCTGAACAGTTATTTTGGGAATCATTTTACTTTTATAGCAGGGCCACTAGGGTTTTAAATGCAGTATTAATGACAGCTGGTGTATGAATAATTTAATAATAATGTCTGAGTTTGAATAATTGGGATGAACAATTCAAATTTGTCCTCACTCATTCGTCTCCATGTCAAGGAGGAACCTCACTTCTGTTCAAAAATAATAATATAATTAAATAAATTAAAGAACCTCACTTTATTTCAAGAATTCTCGCGTCAAATGGGAAACTACCAGAATCGAATTACGTTGAACATTAGTTGTGTTGGAGTCAAGGTTGATCGTATCAAATAATATTTTGATTTTTAGAAAAAAACGATATATATAAGCATCAGTCTTTTTGATATATTATTTTAAATTTTTTAATTTAGTATAAATATATTTATAAATATATAAAATTTGTATATTATAATATTATTATTAATTTATAAAACAAATATCTAATATTTTTAAAAATTAAATAAATTAATTAAAAGCATAAAAATAATATCATAAATTTTTTATAATATTTTTAAATATTTAATCTAATCATATCATATTAAATAAGTATTTTTTTATATAAATATTAAGATAAAAATAAAATGATGAAAAAATTAACTAAGATTTTATGATTATTAAATTTTATAAAAGAAGCATAATTATTTTTCTAAAAAAAATTAAAATATTTATAAATTTTGGCTCGAAAGACAACATACAAAATACAAAATTTGGTTTGAAAAAATAAAAGATAAAAATAAAAAATAAAAAAAATTAATTTTTAAAAATAATTTTATTAATTAATTTTATTTATATTAAATTAAAAATAATTAAATAACAAAAAATAAATAAAAATTTTAAAATATATTTAATATTCACGTATAGATTAAAATATATTATTTTATTAAAACTCACAAAACCGATCGAAGTTAACAAAATAATTGACATTACTCGCTATCAAATTCAATACAAAAAGAATTTTTAAATATATTATATTTTAATATAATTAAAATATATTAATTAATACAATCCATACAAAAACGAAATTAACAATTACGGCGAAAGTCGCATACTTGAAAAACAGAAAAGGGTTAATTTTTCTACAGTTGAAAGGAAGTTATAAAAAAAAAAAAAAATTGGTTCATACTAACACGTGGAGCCTTCGACTATTGCTGTTTCCATCTCAAAACATTTGTTATATTTTGATTTTTACGAAATTTAAAAAAATTTAATTTAAATATATTTAATATTAAATTTTAAAATTTTTCTATAAAATTAAAGTGTCATGATTTTTAATATCAAAAAATAAAAAATCATAAAAATTATTTTTAAATATAAAAAATAAAAATTTTAAATATTCAAAAAAATATATAATATAATTTTAAAACATCTAAAAAAATTGAAAAAAAAAAAAGAGACAGAGGGATTTCATTGTCTTCTATAATACATTTTTCCTGTTCCATTTTTTTATTAACATTTTAATTTAGCTAACTCAATTTTAATTAGTTTTATTAAAAATTATAAAATTGAGTTTCAAAAATTTTAAATATATTTATAAAAGCTTTGATTTAATATATATTTTAAAAAGTTGTTAAAATTAAATTTATTTAACCAAAAAATCATTAAAAAAACATACAAAATGAAATCGATGGAGAACAAAAAAATCATGATGAGTACTGTATTTTCAAATTGGCGCCCCATTTTCGAACTAAACAAAATGAAAAAAATGAGGTGAGGTTTGTTATCTTAATTATAATGGAATTAATTTTTACACTTTTATTACTAATAAAATCATTTTAAAGATAATTGCTCAGAATGTTCAAATTTTTTCACCATAAAATCACGTATCTTTTTTAATGAAATGATAATATGTCAAAAGATTTTTGGAATCTTTTTATTTTTACAGCTGACCTGCAGGTAGCTTTGGTGTCTTAATGACATGTCACGTGCCTTTCTGGACGCATGCAGTACTAACAAAAGCTGATGTAATAGTAAATGGTTAGGGTGATGTTGTTTTGAATAATTGAGTTGAACAGCTACAATTTGTCCTAACTCATTAGTAGAATTGAAAAATAAATAATCAAGATTTGAAATTGTAGTGTTTAATTTGATTTTGATTAATTTTTTATTTAATTTAAATATTAAATATATATATTAAATTTAAATTAAATTTTGAATTGGAAATTAAATTAAAAATTTTATATATTTATATTTCTTAATATAAAAAAGTTTACAATGAAATGTTAAAAATTATATGCTATTATTCAGTAGCTTCTTAAGAATGCTAGTGACCAAGGTAAAAAAATTTTTTCATCAATTGACAGTTTTCAAAATGTATGCGATCATCAATTTCATATATTTTAATTTTTATTTTGTTAATGTATTAAAAAATTAGAATGTTATTATACTAATTATTAAATTTTACGTTAATTAGATGCATATTTGAACGTGAATTAAGTTTATATTAATGTTAGTATATGATTTTAAGCTCGTTTATGAAAATAATAAATATTAACATAAATTTTTTATTTAAAAAAAATACATTTCTCAATTTCACGGCATTTGTGTTCAAGAATATCACTAAATAAATAATTTAGTGACGTTTGTACCATAAAACGTCACTAAAAGTAGCAGTGCTCTTGCAAAAAAATGAGCTAAATTAGCAGCATTTTTGTGATACAAATGCCACCAAAGTAAAGGCATTTTTTTTTATAAAAATGTCACTAAATTAGTGACGTGTCAAAAGTACAAACGCCGCTAATATAGCAACATTTTTCATATACAAATGCTAATATAGTAGCATTTTTCAGATACAAAAACAGCAAATGTAGCGGCATTTTATAGAAAACGTCACTATTTTTCACGACGAGTGCATAGCCAGCACTCTAACTGACGTTTTTCACAAGCGTCGCTAATCTTTTAGTGGCATTTTATAAACGCTTGCCAAACGTAAAAAAAAAATGTCACTAAATACCAAAACCCTTATAGTGAATGAATAAATAGATTCAAGAAGGGAAAACATTTACAATTTTAAATAGTCTAACCAATGAAAAATGGAAAGTAACTTATGTAGTCAAAACAATTAAAAGAAAAATCATAAATCATGAAGCAAATAAAAAAGTTTGTAAAAATTTTAATAAAACAACTGAAAAGAGTATAAATGCAAAGAAAATAATAAGTCAAGAACTTATATAAATGCAAGGAAACTAAATGTCTAAAAAATAAAAATTTAAATGGTTGACTGAATTTTATATAATAAAATTTAGGGACTTAGGCTTCACATGAAATTTTATGTAAACAAACACTACACAATGTAACATGACATTTATTGAAAAATGAGTTTTATTATTTTATTTCACAAGATAGAAACAAATTTTAAAAAAGTAGAAATTTTAGCAAATCAATCATACTTCAATTAAAAATTATAAAAAAATTTATTATTCAAATTCACCTAATTATCATTAAATAATTATGTAAATATAATATAAATGTTTAATGGAAGAGTTCCTAATAAAAACATTTTGAAGTATTTATTAAAATATCTTTTCAACTCCTATATTTATTTATTTCTATTAATATTTTAATGTTATTACATAAAAAAAATAAAAGTTTAGTGAAACTCAATAAAATGATAAGTAAATATTAAATGATCATAAAATATTATTATTATTTCTTCAACTTTTACAAAATATTTATTTTTTAACAACTAGCTACATTAAACATACAAAAAGGAGAAAGTATTTTAATTATAACTCGTTATTTAATATAACATATTCTGAAAAGTTTTTAAAGAAAAATAAAAAGAAATAATATTTTTGAGTGTTATGTCATTTACTACTAATTTGAAACAACTTGTGCTCAACTTTTTTTTCTATTTTTTATAATTAAAATTATGATAAAATCTAAAAAAATCTTGAGTTATTTGCATAAGTAACACCTATTTTTTATGCTTTTTTTAATATTTTTATTTAAATCAATGTTAATTATTTACTTTAATTTTTAAAATATAATAATATTAATGCAAAATTATTATGAGAATGAAACCTTTTATTTTAGCTTTATAAAAGTTTGCAACAAGAAATTGAAATACTTTTGCATCCTCTTAAAAATAAATTATTTTTTGTGTCAAATAAATGATTAAATAAAAAACTTTATTAAAGATTAATAAGTGGATTTTTTTCTCATTTTCATATCTACATGGAATTGAAAAAATATCATTAAACATAATCACTATCTTATACGATATACGTTAAATGATTAAAATGATATACGATGTACGTAAGATGATTAAAATGATATTTACTTCTAAAATAATAAAAAAGTTATTTTTATAACAAATCATCACTCTATAATATTGTCAATATAGAAAATATTAAAAAAAAAACCTTAAACTGCACAATTAATAAGACTCATCATAACAATTTGATGAAGAGATAAATTTATGCAAACAACACAAATAATATCTAAAAAAAATTTTGAAATATAATTTTTAAAGAAAAGCACAAAATCTCAAAATCCATAACAAATTATCAAAAAAGGAAACTATTAAGCACTGAGTTAAATGTACATAAAAGATGGTTACAAACAAAAATATATCATGGAATATTTATACTTTTATCAAGCATCTCTTTGATGATAGTATTAACAAGAAAATGAATCATATCATTCGCATTAATTTACCTTATAATCATCTTTATTTTTTACAATAAAATTTTTTATATAACATACACCTCTTTATGAAAATCTTATCTATTCAATTATATACCCGTAAATGACAAATCTAAAAAGCATATTATAATACATATAAATCTCACATAATGTCATTATAAAATTATATAAATA